GGGGGCCCCGGAATGCTGGAATTGCGCATCGTTTTCTGAAATTGAGGTCGAAAAAGGTCTGAAAAGTATTTTGAACCCCCCACTATCTCAAAAATAATTTTTGGAACGTTTTTCCCAAAATGTATCATCCAGAAATAGTTGGATAAATTTAATTGAAATTGGATCAAAAGTATATGTCAGATAGAAAATAATGAACTAATCGGCTCGTGCAGGTGGAAGACAAGATCACAAACAGCCAACAAAAGAGAAGGAATATACTGGGGGAAATCCCTACATGTACATTTAACATTATTTATAACTAATTTTTATCCACAAAGACGGAATTCATTTTGTAAACCAACTATTTATTTCATGGATAACTCACCCGTACACGTTGTCTTTATCTTCTTGCTGTTTTAAAAGTGATGGGCAGTTAATTAAACTACTAAATAAGCAACAGCGTAGAAGTTTGGTCTGAAGTTTGACTGTTTTCTTAGAACAAATTTAAACTTATTGAGCACTAACAAAATAATCAAATATACAACTGTAATTAATATTACCAAATCACAAATCTATATATAGAGCCGGGATCTTTTTAAAATTAATTTTAACAAATGGAAAAGACACCTTTTGGCATGACATCACGGTGAAAGAATCCAGCTTTAATATTAATTAAATTAAAACTCTTTGCGAGGGCGTCCTCGAGAGGTTGACGGCTAGAAATTTCATGTCCTCGGATCAGTACATACTATGCCTATGAAGACAGAAATACCACCATTCGATTTAGAAATAAAAGATCAACTAATTCCAAACGATAGTTATAGTCATTATTAACATTGTAGCGATTTATGGGAGTTTGAAAGTCAAATGCGATCGTATACTATCAAATTACTTCGAGCCTCGAGCTCACAGCCGGACAAGAAATGGAAATACCGTGATAAAAGATGCAAATTTGAAGATACAGGCTTACAAATAACACTCTAAATAGTGTTTTTGATGGGGATTCAAACATGACTATTACAAAGACGATATGTTTGAAGGAGTCGAAGTTATTTTCGGCGAAATGTATGGCTAGTCTATATTTTTGTTCAGATAATCGCGTGAGCTACCCAACCGGAAATACAACTAAAAAAACGTCAAAACAATGCGACGGTTGCATCGTATGACCTTGCAAATGGCCTATGTTTTTTACAAAAAGCGTGTGCAAAGAGCAGTTACAACCTGTTAACTAGGGTTTTATGCATTGTACATCATTATTTATTCATAAAACAACATTAATTACTTAACTAATGAATCAGCTTCCGTGGCGCGTTTGGCCATCCCGCCACGGATCACTGATTAAGCGTTGGGGAAAAGGAAGCTCCATTGTGTCCAAATGAAGCACGGGAATGAATTCCTCCGCAGTTCAGTTACTACTCCCCGCCGATTCGCCTGTGCCACACACACAAGCCAAACTATAATCTATTAAGCAAACAAACCGGCAATGGATATGACATACAATTGCGAGATGCACTGCTCTTACAAACCAAAACATTGACCACTGTGACTTAAATCCAAATGCAGTAGCTAAGCGTGCTTGGTCACTCAAGCAATAATGTATTGTGACTTCTCCATTGGCTGCTTTGCCTTAATTCCAAATCCACTGAGTTACTCGTGCCCGGTCTTAAGCAATCATGCATTGCGAGATGCACTTCTCGTATACGCCAACACAGTAGCAAGGTTGTTTAAAAATCCAAACTCACTTAAATCCAATTCAGTAGCTACTCCTCAAGCAATCACGCAATTGCGAGATGCACTTCTTTCATACGCCAAACACATTGGCCACTTTGCTTTAAATCCAAAGTCATTAGCTACCCGTTCTCGGTCTCAAGCAATCGAGCATTGCGAGATGCACATCTCTCATACGCCAAACAAATTGGCAACTTTGTTTAAAATCCCTATTCAGTAGCTACTCGTGCTCGGTCTCAAGCAATCTGGCATTGCGAGATGCACGTCTCTCATACGCCAAATAAATTGGCAACTTTGTTGAAAATCCCTATTCAGTAGCTACTCGTGCTCGGTCTCAAGCAATCTGGCATTGCGAGATGCACGACTCTCATACGCCAAACAAATTGGCAACTTTGTTTAAAATCGCTATTCAGTCCCATATACGCCAAACACATTGGCAATTTAAATCCAAATTCAGTAGCTACTCGTGGTCGGTCTCAAGCAATCTAGCATTGCGAGATGCACGTCTCATATACGCCAAACACATTGGCAATTTAAATCCAAATTCAGTAGCTACTTGTGCTCGATCTCAAGCAATCTAGCATTGCGAGATGCACGTCTCTCATACGCCAAACAAATTGGCAACTTTGTTTAAAATCCCTATTCAGTAGCTACTCGTGCTCGGTCTCAAGCAATCTGGCATTGCGAGATGCACGTCTCTCATACGCCAAACAAATTGGCAACTTTGTTGAAAATCCCTATTCAGTAGCTACTTGTGCTCGGTCTCAAGCAATCTGGCATTGCGAGATGCACGTACGTCTCTCATACGCCAAACACATTGGCAATTTAAATCCAAATTCAGTAGCTACTCATGGTCGGTCTCAAGCAATCTAGCATTGCGAGATGCACGTCTCATATACGCCAAACACATTGGCAATTTAAATCCAAATTCAGTAGCTACTCGTGCTCGATCTCAAGCAATCTAGCATTGCGAGATGCACGTCTCTCATACGCCAAACACATTGGCAACAGCTAAATCCATAGTAGAATTTGTGCTCGGTCGCAAGCAAGCAATTATGTATTGCGAGAGGCACGTCGGTCATACGGCAAACATAGTGGTCCTCTTTCGCTCAAGCAAATGCAATAAACTACGGAAGCTCGGAGTGAATCAATCATATGCAGTGCAATTCGCTACCGTCCCATACCATACGAAAACACAATACCCAATAACCATTTTATTAAAGGCGAAAGGTAATCACTATAGCCTAGCTAGTGTTCTTTTCAACAATATAATCTTGCGAAATACACGACCCGCTCGCGTAGAAAATTAACAAAATTAACAATGCTAAAACCAGACAGGAATCATTCATGCGTCGCAATCTCAACTATCTTGATGTTGTGGCTGTTACGGAAACCTGGTTAAAGCCCGATATATACGATGGTGAGATTTTACCTGGAAATCAATACACAATTTACCGACGTGATCGTGCTGATGGACGGCGAGGGGGAGGTATTCTCGCTTTAAATAAGACAAACAGAATTCCTAATACTATATCGTATGGAAATATAACTGCTACTGATTCTATTTCTAAGGCCAACATATTTAATACCTTTTTTCATTCTACTTTTAATGCCTGTGATAATAGTATTTATACCACCGTTTCACACCCGTTGAACGACAGCATGAGTGTACCTTGTCTTTCCAATATAACGCTAGATAGTGAAGATGTTCTTAAGGCGCTTCACTCTTTAGATATCCACAAAGCTAGCTGTGGGATTCCTTCTAAGCTTTTAAAGGAATGTAGTAATGCCATTGCCACTCCACTTACCAGATTATTTAATGAATCTCTTAGCACTGGTGAATTTCCATCTCAGTGGAAAGATGCAAATTTAGTACCTATTCATAAAACTGGCAGAAAGTCTCAAGCAACTAATTACAGGGGTATTTCTTTGTTGGAGCAGTTGTCTAAAATTTTAGAGAAAGGTGTTTATAATGTAGTTTTTGAGTTCTTTTCAAACAAAATAACAACTTCACAACATGGTTTCTATCCTAGACGTTCTTGTGCTACGCAGCTTACGCAGGTTGTTCATTTACTTGCTCAATCTATGGATAATAAACAACAAGTTGATTTAGTGTATCTTGATTTTGCAAAGGCTTTCGATCGTGTGCCTCATTCTAAATTAATTTGTAAGCTTCATCAGGTCAATAATCGGTTTATTATATGGCTGAACTGAGTCTGTGAGCATATGCTTTTCGCGCGAATTAAATCGGCTATCGTCAGTTTCACTGGGTAACAACATACGGTAGGCATGCATGATCAATCAAAAACAATTTGGTTGCTTGAAATTTTTAACTGTAAAGCACAATTGGAAAATTAAAAAGCAAAAATTTTTTCTGTTTGCAAATCAAAAATTTTCCGCCAGATAAACGACATCCGGGACACCGTCCAGATACGGAAAATACGGACTACGGTCCGGATATGGGTTTTTACGGACCGCTTGTCAACCAATCAGAATAGAGAATTTTGAAAAGCCATATAATAACAACCATTATTATATGGCTTTTCAACATTCTCTATTCTGACTGGTTGACAAGCGGTCCGTAAAAACCCATATCCGGACCGTATATTTCCCGTATCTGGACCGGTGTCCCGGATGTCGTTTATCTGGCGGGAAATTTTGGCTTTGCAAACAGAAAAAATTTTTGCTTTTTAATTTTCCAATTGTGTGTCATTAAAATTTACAGATAAAAATTTCAAACAACCAAATTGTTTTTGATTGAGCATGCATGCCTACCGTATATTGTTACCCAGTGAAACTGACGATAGCCGATTTAATTCGCGCGATAAGCATATGCTCACAGACTCAGTTCAGCCATATAATAAACCGATCATTGACCTTGCTTATTCGGTCTGTACTTTGAAATATCAGACCTCTGTTTTTTGCATGGACCTCGCTCCTTCGTCGCTGGGTCCATACTAAAAAACCTCGGTCCGATAATTCACAGTACAGACCTCACGCTCGGTCAATAAGCCTTTATGATTGTAATTTTACAGGGTCGCCTTATAAATATTCTACATGGTGTACCGACCGACAGATTTTAAAATTAAACAACTCTTGACTATGCAAACATTTAAAGCACATTTTCCACTAGGCGAATTTGTTAGCGCGAACAGTAAAAAAGTAGGAACTGATCCAACTTTTTCGCGGCGAATTTTTTCGCTGACCAATCACATGCATTACCAAGATTTGTTTTTCGCTTCGCGTCGCGCGAACAAATTCGCAGCGAACAAGATATTAAGGATGATTAATAGACCGGTTCAAAAAATAGTTGTCAATCTTTTTTCTTCCGATAACAATTTCAACCAAGGTAGCTAATCATTGCCGCCTTGTATAGAGTACTTCAAGACTAACAATTACGCAAAGTAAAAATGCAATGCCATGCACTGCATTCTCTTTGTGAAATTAAATCTTAAAAATAGCAAAGTTTATGCTACATTTAGTGAACAAGCCTTTTTTTTACACTTTCCTTAAATGATGGTCTCTGTCGAAAAATTGTTTTTTAGCCTGTTAATGTATAAAAAATAAAAGAATGCAAAATTGTAATAGCTACTTTTTTGTGATCAAGGGTACGCTGTGATTAAAGCAGGCGTCGTGACAGAGAAAAATTACCATGCAAGTGAACAAAATTCCACAACATGTTGCTGTTGGTTGTGTCATACCTGTATTTGTCCGAAACTTGATAACTTTCTCTGAAATTGTTCTCTCTGAGTGGCATACTCTGACGCATATTCTGAAATAGAGAAGGTAATTTCAGCAAGCGTCACAGAGTTTTAGAATATAATCCCTCCACACTTCCAATAAAGGGAAGGAAAAAAGGGTTACAGTAACAACACGTTTAAATCCAATTTGTTATTGATTGTGCTGAGCATATGATACCCAATAAGTTCAACGGCACATATGTACAGCCTTATGATTCACCACAATTAACATGATATTTATTTACGTCAACGGAAGCTAGGGCACAGGAGAGCCGAATTCATTGTAATAGTAGCCTATTTCTGAAAACCTGGTCTGACATGTCAGCACAACCCTAGTTTTGGTCGTACACGACTGGACACTATTAGTTGTTTTAGAACTCAACATTGTATACATTAGATTGCATTGTAATTATTTCACTTTCAATTTTTAGAATCATTAATTTAAATAATGTAATATAAATATAGATAATCTATTATAGAAATCATAATTCGATGTAAACTAAACCGTGTGCTTTTAGCATCCAATAAACTTTAAGACTTTTTTATTATTATTTATTATTATAATCTGAATATAAATTCAATGTAATACAGCAATTCATTTGATTATAAACACCCTGGTTAAAAATTGCTGGTTAATCTAAAATTAACACTGTTAATTCGGGGTAACTTAATGGTCCTGGTTAAATAGTTAATTTAACCACAGTCCTGGTTAAATTGATCATAGTTCTGACTATATGGTTGAATTAGTCAAGCTATATTGTCGAATTAGTCAGATACTCTCTCCTCCACAGAGGCTTTGAGTTGCTACTTTGAGTGCTATTAAAATATATGCGCTAGACGGTTATGTTAGAGAGTTATGCGCTAAGACGGCAATATGTAACAAGGAAACCCCCCTGGCGTCCGCGCTCCGAATTTTAGCGGTTTCCTCGTTACATAGTACCGTCTAGCGCCCTTGTTACCCATTACCGTCTAGCGCATATATATAACAGGGTGAACAGAGGGGACTTCCGTCTACGCATACGCGAGAAACGTAAGCGTGGAGTGCACGTGAGCGCGGGTTGATCGCTTGACTGAATTCTAAAAACAAACACCAAATTTGCCAAAACTACTCGTGTTATGAAGTTGTTCTCTTGCTTTTTTTAGTGTTTCTACGCTCACAATTGTAGGCACTTTTGACTTAGAAGTGTTTGCTTTGGAATAAGAACGTGAAAGTAGAAATAAAAACTTTGTTGCAGCTGTTTAATTTCGCCGTACAAATATACCTGTTTTATATGTATATCTTTTTCGAAGTGAGGTATACATGTACAAGTGCAAATTGACCTTCTCTAAATTCGTACTTGCCCTATTTTTGACTCCATAAAAACAACTTTCATCCATGGAGAAACTATTTGACTTTAAAAATAAGCTGGAATAATGTAGGTGATATAGGCTAGTTTCTTTGCAAACAGTGATTCAGTGCTCGGTACTCGGTAGTGTACTTGTTGTATATGAAGAAAAGTCTAAAATGATTTCAACATCCATTAACAAAAAGGAATCGCACTTATTACTACTCGTTAGAAGATAGACAATTAATTTAATTCACTAGGAACCCGTTCTACAATATAAACTAGAAATCGGCCAACATATTGTCACGAAATACTACAATTCAAATAGGGTCTCAAAACTACTGATTTCACCGAACGGTCAATTTCTCTGCAAAGATCGCCCCTTTGGCCAATTTTCCTCCAGTGGATCATCGTGTTTTTAAGTCAAGAATTATGATTGTATACTTTAACATAAAAGAATAAAAAAAGTGGTGATAAAGGGTAGATTTTGAATAAAATACGAATATCTGTATACAAGATCTGAGCGTCATTATGAAGCACTCGATACTTTTTCCAACAACATATTGGACTTAATTTTTTACAAAATTAAATATATTCACACATTAAAGATATGAAAATGTAGCTTGCATTACAAAGAAATGTTGGCTTACCTAAGTTATACCTTACACGTTGATTAAAGTCAAGTAAAGCCCTTTCAAAAACGCGTGCCACATTAAACTACAGGTCACAAGGCGGTAGAGAACTCGACGAAGTGTTCAGGATATTTCATAACCAGTTTAAACGCCGGTGAGGACTATTCCTTGAATTATGATGCCCAACACACCGGGTAACAAAATTTACCACTTTGTTCGGCTGTTCCAAGTACACTTTTAAGATACAAGGTCCGATTATATCATGTTCTTCGAAGCATGAGCTCAAAACAGTTCAACATAAATATCACCACTCATCTTCTTCGTATGAAAATATAAGTTTTCCTTCAATTTCTTTGCTTTAAAAACAGTCATTAGATTGTTGAAGAGTTAGTCTATAACTTCCAACGAAAAAAGCAAAGATGCTTTCAAAAACCAAACATCGAAAAGCAAAATTTGCGGGAAAAAGCTCACGAGCCCGCACTATTTTCATGCAGCGTCGACGAAAGTCCCCTCTGTTAACAGGGAGGTCAGGGAGGTGAATATATAACTCTCTAACATTACCGTCTAGCGCATATATTTTAATAGCACTCAAAGCAGCAACTGAAAGCCTCTGTGGAGGAGAGAGAGCCAGATATATGTTAGGTGAGCTATTACTGAACTAAGGATTCCTTGTTAATAATCCGCCAAACATAATCTGGTTCATTCAACCATATAGCCTGCATGGTTAAAGCGTGGTTTCAACCACAAAGCCTGCATGGCTGCATGGTTAAAGCGAGGTGTATACCTCAACAATATCACGAAGTTGAAAGGAGTATCATTTGACAAATCATACTGGTAATTTCGACAGTATAATGCAAACAATAAATAATACATTCCTGTGCATGTGTAACAGGTTAGTGAAGAGTTGCCTTTTGGTTTTGCAACAAATTACAGTGTGACAAAATGTTATATCATGATGTCAGTGCAGAGCAATCAGTAGAAGGCATATTGGCGTTTTTTACGGAAAATGACTGTCTGTTATATTAAACACTATATTGATTCATAAGAGTTCCGTTCCACATCAATTTACTCGGCATGCATGATTCAAACAATTCATTTACTTATGAATATTATACAACATCTTTAAGACCTTGTTTAACCCTTTAAGTGGCAATTAATGCGCCCAGACGCGCTCTACTTTATTATTAGACAGATTTAGATCCAGTACGCGTGCGTATGGACACAGAATACTACACAGAAGTCCATCTCCATTGTTTTTTGCGTAAGCGTTATTCGTCATGATTCGTCACTCAGCAAGTACCGTAAACAGAAGCAGTCACCCCCCTGGACGTTCGCCATTTTTAGTATTTCCAGGGGGGGACTGCTTCTGTTTACGGTACTTGCCGAGTGACGAATCATGACGAATAGCGCTTACGCTAAAAACAATGGAGATGGCCTTCTGTGTAGTATTCTGTGGTATGGGTATGGACAAGTATGGATATGCCACGCCATTTTCACGTCCGATCTAAATCTGTCTATTTTACTCTGTCTAACACCAGACGATTTTACTCGTCAGGGGGAGAGTGCTGCCACTCAATGGGTTAATCAGACAACCTGCCCATGCACCCTGTTAACACTTTAAGTGGCAATGCGCCCCACTTTATTATTTTACGCTGTCTAACACCAGACGATTTTACTCGTCAGGGGAGAGTGCTGCCACTCAATGGGTTAAACGTATCCTCGCTCGTACAAAACCGTATGTCTAATGTGTAACTCTGTTCGTAGTCTAGATGGTCCAATCTCGTGCTGCATGCAGAGTAATGACGTAATTTTTCACTTGTACCCGAGCCGACGGCGCGAAGCGCCTTGCGAGGGTACTGATTCCCCCCGGCTATTTACACCCGGGGAAACGAAAGCATTAGCGAAGTCTAAAGTTCATCAAATATCGCGGGCGTGGCTCACCAACGATGTTTCGGTGGGTGGTCATCCTCACTGATCTCAAAATATGTTGCGGACTGTCATGAATAGCGAACACTGATTGGTCCAATTTAAAGTTTGCATTATAACGACTGCATGACGACAGCGAAATAGCAAACATTTCTTGATTTGATGATTGATAAATTTCTTGCAAATACATTTCATTGTTGCTCGCATTTTTGCAAGATTTTGTAAATTTCAAAAGCTTTCTCAGAAAGAAAAAACGAAAGAATCGGCTAAAAGAATGGAGCCGACGTTAACGGAGGTAAGTTTGTTTTAAATATTGATTTTATAATTGCTTTAAAACCCGACGGCCTTTGCGTATATGAAAAACTATTAAAACTGACAAGACAGCATATAATTTCAGTGTATCTTTAATATTGGATTATTGATTCCCTTTTTTATTATATTGATTTTTTTAAATAAAAAAGAAAGCCAAGTTATTTGCATGCGAGAATCTGAAATCATTTTATTGCAAACTCAAAGTTTATCGATAAAGCCATTTAATTAATAAAGGCAGTTTAGTTTTATAAAGAACACTTTAAAACGTTTTGCGAAGCGTTTGTGGTTGAATTTTACCTTAAATTGAAGCTTATATTACTTACAATAACATACCTAACATATATATGTTGGGAAATTGATAATTTTGTAATTGAAAGTGATATTTTTAGGCGATTTTTCATTTGTAAAAATATTCTTAAAAAATTATCGTGTTACCATGACAACTACTTTAGATACTTCATGTTCGGAAAATGCAATGGTTTTGTCAGCAAGGCGAGGGTTTCTGCATGCATGTATTTTCTAGTATGTTATAGTATACTTGTCGTCTATGTTAGTCTAATGGGGCTGCAGTATATAATTGGTAAATTAAATTAAACATTAAACCATACAGTACCGATTATTTTTCTTATTCCACCAGAGGCAACTGCTGCCATGCCAAATCGACCACTGTTTAAGATTGTCATGGCAACCTAAACATTTTAAAATAGCTGTAAGAGTAATAGGTATTTCCCGCGTGTAAGAGTGGAAGAACTACAAAATTTAGTAAACTGGTCAAGCTTTTGAGGAGTAATTATATATAGAGATTAATTATACAATTTCTAAAGTGTAAAGGTACTTTCCTCCGCAGAGGCTTACATGAAAGATTGGGAGTCAGGGTGGGGGATCAGGGTGGGGGATCAGGGTGGGGGATCAGGGT